ACAGAGGGCACCAGTTTGAGTCATGGTACCTGCCAAGGACTACCAGAGACAGGGCAGTGTATGACAGTGCCCTCCGTGTCCCTCTCCTCATCGCCCAACAGAGGGCCAGTGTGTGTCCTTTCTCTGCAACACCCATACCAGAGAGGACTCCGAGATCAGGCTGCCACAGTCAGTGAGAGGGGCCCAAGGGGCAGAACACTAGCCCACAACAGGCAGTCCCAGGCCAAATTAAGTGCAAGTAGAACTTGATCTGTAGCCAAAGCAGAGCCCTTGATTTGAGACAGCTGGAGAGGCTCTGCTTGTAGGTGCCAAGAGTGGCCACACTGTCTCCAAAAGACCCTAGGGTCCTACTTGTGGGCAGGGACATACTGGGATCAGCTTCTGGAGTCCCTGGTGTATGAGACCCTTGCCATGATGCTTCAGTACAGCTCTACTGGAAACCTAGATGGAAACAGTGGGGTATGAGGGAACAGCTGCTAAGCCAGGATGGATACATTGGTCAAGTTCCAGCTGGCAGTTGTCATGACTGCCTAGCTACAGAGAGGCCTGTAAAGGGACCCATGGCCAAGGCACCATGCAAATTTGAGAGGGCAGACCTAACCCTATGGTGTTATTTTGTTTGTGATCTAACAAATGATGCTTGCCTGAAAATCAGAGAAGCAGAACGTCCAGCCACTAATTATCTCTACTGAATCTTCAGACTGAATTCGAGATCCTGTCCCTAAGAATCTTCTGACTGAATGCTGTGCCTACTAAACCTCAGACTGAATGCCATGAGCTCTTGTCTCCTCCCACCTTATATTCCTCTCTTTGCCCAACCATATCATTCTTCTCTCCAGTTCCCTAATTCCGGGATTAAAGGCCTGTGACTTCCAAGTACTGGAAATAAAACTGTGAGCCTGTTTCTCTCTTAGACTGGATCAATGTGTACCCCAGGGTGGCCTTGAACGCAGAGATCCGTGTACCTCTGCTGGGATTAAAGATGTGTGTCACTGCTGAGAGCCCAAGGACACTCAGCCCAGCACCCTGGCTGAAAGAATATCTCATGAACCACAAACATATGCATGTAAGAAAGGCTTGGGATACTGTGATCCTAGGGTTAAAAATTTGCAAAGCATAGGCCAGGCACTTTTAAACGACATTCATCCACAAAAATAAATCTTAAGGGTTGAAGTGAAGGGTCAGTTGTTTTCTTTGTTTGTTTGTGTTGGTTTTTTTTTTTTTTTTGGTTTTTCAAGACAGGGTTTCTCTGTGTAGCTTTGGACCCTCTCCTGGATCTTGCTTTGAAGACCAGTCTGGCCTAGAATTCACAGAGATCTGCCTGCCTCTGCCTCCTGAGTGCTGGGATTAAAGGCGTGTGCCACCAACACCCGGGTGAAGGGTCAGTTGTAAGAGCACTGTTGTTCTTGCAAAGGACCTAATGCCAGTTCCCAGCACCCACATGGGGACTCACAACTGTCAGCAACTCCAGTTCCAGATGGGTCTGACACCTTTTGTCCTCTGCCAGCTCAGACATGCATATGGTGAACTTACATGGGTACATGTCAAAACAATCATACACATACAATAAATGGCTGGGTGTGGTGGCACAGGCCTTCAATCCCAACACTCTGGAAACAGGCAGGTGGGTCTCTGAAATGGAAGCTAGTCTGATCTACATAGTGAGTTTCAGGCCAGCCAGGGTAACATAGATGTTGTCTCAAAAAATGTTTAAATGAAAAGGAGAACAAAATATATAAATAAACAATAAATGCATAGATGTTTAAAGTAAACAAATAAAAAAAACTGTTGGAGAACAGAAGAGCCATTCATGTGGAAGGCACTAACCATGGGGTTACCTGCCACACAGCAGTTGGGAAACAGCAGAGTGCAGTCCATCCAGAGTGAGCCTAAAGCTAGGAAAGCCCAGAGGGAGTTGGAGAATGACAAGGGAAAAGGGAAAGTTTTGACTACCTGTGGGTGACTCTGGGAGATAATCTTTTCCCATAGCAGTAAGATGCTAGGTCCAGGCTAGAACCATGCTTTTAATTTCAGTACTGTGGAGGCAGAAGCTTGTGGCTGTCTGAGTTTAAGTTTAATGGCAGCCTGGTCAGGCCAGCCAAGGCCACACATAGTAAGACTTTGTGTCAAAAACAAACAAACAAACAAACAAAGAAATGACGCAAGCTAGGTTCTCACTTATCCCCCTTCAGCTAAAGAACCGACCACCTCTACAACTGCATAAATACCAATCAGGGAAAAGACTGGCTGGAGACAGCTGTCTTCAGGGGATAGATGGCAATGTGTGGGGATGGAGTACTGTGCAGAAGCCTACAGGAACTGTCCCAGGGAAGCAATATGGAAGAGAAGCAGAAGAAACCTACTAGCTCTGGGCTGGGGCTAGAGCTCCTAAGCATGTTGGAACAAGCTGGGCCTGTGTATCCGGGGGTTGCACGTTGAGAACTGTAGGGAAGGAAGGCTTCTAGTCCCTACCTTTACTTCTAGAAAAGCCAATGGCTTTCTCTAGAGCACTGTCTGTATCATGTCTCCCTCAGTGATTGTTGGCCAGACACGTGCTTCTGGGTCAGAACAATATTTTCCTGGTTTCTTGTCTCCTTAGACAGTAGTAACCTTATATGGGAAAGTAGTCAGTAGTTAGCTGCCAATCTTCCTATACACACCCAGATGTACATTTTGAACTTGTCACAGTGAAAAGAAGGGCGTGCCTCTCTCTCTCTCTCTCTCTCTCTCTCTCTCTCTCTCTCTCTCTCTCTCTCTGTGTGTGTGTGTCTCCTCTCTCTCCTCTCTCCTCTCTCTCTCCTTCCCTCCCTCCCTCCCTCCTTCTCCCTTTTTCTCTGTTTTTCGAGCCAGGGCATCTCTGCTTGCTCTCTTGACCAGGCTGGCTTCTAACTCAGAGATCCACCTGCCTCGGCCTATAGACCCGAAAGTTGGGATTGAAGGTGCATGTCACCGA